AAATTTACACCTGAAAAACCTGGACAAACCAGGGAATTTTGTTTTGTCTGGCCAGTAGACACCCTAGTTATGTGCGTGTTTATGTATATGTGTTTTGTGTATGTTTATGTATGTGTATTATGTGCGTGTGTATGTGAGTTATGTGCGTGTGTATGTATTGTGTGCATGTGTGTCGTCTGCGTATGTATATGTATGATGTCGGGTATGATGTATGGTGTATGTATCGCGTGGTAATACAGTCGAGTCTGATGATCTATTAATGTATGGTGGTGGGCGTGGTGGTGATGACAGTGGCGTGTGGGCGTGGGAGGGCGTGTTGATACAGGTGGTGTGGTGGGGGGTGGCGGTGGGGCAGGATGGTGGTGGGCCATGGCGTGGGCTATGGGGTGTAGTGGTGGTGGTGGGGCTGGGGCGGGGCAGGAGTAGGGTAGTGGTGGAAGTGGGGCACTGGGGCAGACAGTCAAAGATTTCATGAGAGAGAGAGAGAGAGAGAGAGAGAGAGACGAAGGCAAGGGGGGGAAGGAGGAAGAGAAGAGACGAAGGCAGACACGGATGAGAGGCTGATAAAGAGAGATGACAACATAGAGAAGGGACAAGGGAAGGAGGAGGAGGAGGAGGAGGAAGAGGGTGTGAGGTGAGGGACCGGAGGAGGAGGAGGAGGAGAGAGGAAGGCGAGTGTGAGGAGTAGGACGAGGAGGAAGTTAGCAGGAAGAAAAGGAGAGAGGAGGAGGGAAGAAGAAAACGAACGAGGAAGATGGAGGAAGGGGAGGAGGAGGTGAGGAAGAGGAAGATCACCCTCACCTCACCTTCATTAAACTCACATTAAGACTCGACTATTTTGGCTCACCATCCTGTCTGGTGAGGGAGGAGATTGGGGGGAGGAGAGGGGTGTTCGATCCTGTTCGGGGCATTAGGTCTGATCATTCGGTCATGTTCGGGGATTCGGTCGGGCTTCTATACGTCCCTGTTCTGTTTGGTTATTTCCACCGAGATGGATGTTGGAAGGTGTTCGGGTGTTCTGGATGTTCGGTCGTCTTGTTCACGAGGACGAGGCAGTTATGTCACACACTTAACTGCAGGAGGCCAAGAGGTGGTTATGATGTCGTCTGCTGTGTCCTACTTCTCTCTGCTGCCATCTGCTGTGCCTTCTGTGCCTCCCTCTACTCTGCCCCCCTCCCTCCCTCTACTCTGCCCCCCCCTCCTTCCCTCTGCCTCCCTCTGCGTTGCCCTCCTCCCTACCTCTACTCTACCCCCCTCCTCCCTACCTCTACTCTACCCCCCTCCTCCCTCCCTCTACTCTGCTCCCCCTCCTTCCCTCTGCTATTCCCCCTCCCTCCCTCCCCCATGTGCAGAGCTGCGAGTATTTCCCGGTGTTATCTGTCCGCCATTAAGATAGCGAGTCATGGCGGCGTGTCGTAAATGAGCGCTTAAGATAACACGCGCGACAATGGTGACACATCAATTGTATACAAGGATTAGGGATTGGGCTAACAAGGCGTGATTGGAGGGGGGGGGTAGTTAATGTGTGTGACCAGAGATTGGTTAATGGTCGGATAGAGATTTGGTTTATGTGTGAAAAGAGATTCGGTTGATTTATGATTAGAGGTTGATTAACGTGTGATCAGATATGTGGTTAACAAGGAGTGATTAGGGATGTGAACCCAGAACCACCACCACCACCTAGTGTTACCCCCCACCACCACTAGTGTCTGCCCCCCACCACCGCCCAGAGTGTCCACCCCCCCCACCACCACCTAGTGTCACCCCCACCACCCACCTAGTGTCACCCCCCCACCACCACCTAGTGTCACCCCACCACCACCTAGTGTCACCCCCCACCACCACCTAGTGTCACTCCCCTGTATACCACCTTACCTGTCTACCAGTGCCACCCCTTGCCATCACACCCCGTTCCACTTTAAAGTTTGTGCCATCCCCCAGTGCCACTCCCCTCCCCCCCTATGTTCCACCTCTCAGTACCACCCTCACACTCCTTGCTCCACCTCCCCTCTCGTTCCGCCTCCCCTCCTTGCCAACCTCCAGTGCCCCCCCCGCCCCCTTCGTGGCAGCCGTCGCCCGTGGCCCCCAGCTGCTCGATCATAGGTTTATTGCGCCATTAAATCGTATTATTAGAATTTACGAGGATCCTGTTTAATGGTAGCTCCTCCTGATATCAATTTCCCAGAACTCGGCCCCCACACGGATGTCTGCTGGTTGGTGGGGGTGGAGTGGGTGGTGGATGTGGGTGGCGGATGTGGGTGTGGGTGGTGGGGGCGAGGGATGGTGTGCAGGTTGGCGTGGGTGGGGGGTTGGGTTGCAGGGGGTGGTGGGTGATGGGAAATTGGGTGGTTGGGGTGTGGTATGGGTTGATGGGGTGTGGAGTGGGTGGTGGGTGTAGATGTGGGTGTGGGGATGATGTCGGTGATGGGGGATTTTGTGGGAATTGCAGTGTTGGGGGATGGGTGTTTTGCATGGGTAGACGGTAGATGGTGTGGGGTAGCGGGGGCATGATGTGGGGTAACTATGGGTGATGTGGGTGGCAGAGGGTGGCGTTCATGGCCGGATGGTGGGTGGGGTGGGCGGTGTATGAGTGAAATATGAAGCATGTCGACGGTGTGGGCGGCTACCATCACCTCTCCCTCATTCATAATCTCCTCTCCATCTTCTTTATTCACCTCCTTCCTTCTCCCCTCCTCCTTAACTCCCTGTTCTTCATTCACTTCCTCTTCTCTTTATATATAATCTCATATCTCGTTCACAAACTCGTATGGCATTTTTCCTTCCGTGGCTGAAGTCAACAGAACGGTTGTATTTACGGTAGAGTCTCAGTGCGATTTTGATTTCATTTTGACGGTGTGTGTTGGTGTGTCAGTGGGACAGGTAAATGATTCCTGAAGTGACGTCATACAGGTAGATGGCTCCTGAAGTGACGTCATACAGGTAGATGGCTCCTGAAGTGACGTCATACAGGTAGATGGCTCCTGAAGTGATGTCGTACTGATAGATGGATTCTGAAGTGACGTCACACCTAACGTAACGTAACCAAACCTAACCTAACGTAACCTAACTAAATCTCACTTAACATAAAATAACGTAACGTGACCTAACCTAACGTAATCATAGGTTGTCTGTCTGTATGTCTGGGTAGGAGGAAATGGCGGCCATTGTGGGTGGGCATAGGACATGGGTGGGCTTTTAGGTGGCGAGTATATGGAGTAATGGGCGATTTGCGGGCGGTTGATCTGGGACATTGGGTGAAGTGTGGGCGGCTGGTAGTGGGCGCTGGGTATGGGGCCGAGCATAAGAGACATGAGATGGTTGGGTTGGGGGGGTTGCTGTGGGCGGCAAACATGGGATAAGTGGGCGGCCGTCACCATGATTAAGTGGGGGTCCTTGGCCGCCCACCGCCTGGGAAAGCCGCACCATTAATGAATTTTGTTTGTGTTTATCATGTGGGCGAGTCAATGACACGGGGAGGGGGGGTGAGGGTGGTTGGATGGGGGGGGGAAGGGCGGTGGTTAGGTGAGTGGGTAAATGGGTGGGCAGGGTCAACCCACCAGGACCACTGCTGCCCACGCCCACCATAAGGTCTCCTCCACCTCCTCCTGTGATAAACTTCGTGACCAAATGAGCAGTGGGACATGCACGGTGAGGCAGCCTGTGGTCACACTGCCTCCACACACCCTTGTTGTGCCTTTATACACCTGTTCCTCTGGGTCACAAGGGGGGGGGGTGAGGGAAGGTACTAGGGGTGAGGGAAGCTACTAGGAGGAGAAGGTACTAGGGTGTGGAAGTTACTAGGGGTGAGAGAAGGTACTAGGGGTGAGAGAAGGCATTAGGTGAGGAAGGTACTAGGGGTGAGGGAAGAGGGTGAGGGGAAGGTACTAGGAGGGGAGGGAAGATACTAGGGGTGAGGGAAGATACTAGGGGTGTGGGAAGATACTAGGGGTGAGAAGTTAGTAGGGGTGTGGGAAGATACTAGGGGTGAGGGAAGATACTAGGGGTGAGGGAAGATACTAGGGGGAGGGGCACTAGGGGTGAGGAAAGATGCTAGGGGTGAGGGAAGATACTGGGGATGAGGGAAGATACTAGGGGTGAGGGAAGGAACTAGGGGTGAGGGAAGGAACTAGGGGTGAGGGAAGATAAGAGAAGACGGGCCAATGACGTACCAGGGACGGGCCAAGAGGATACCAGGGACGGGCCAAGGACGTACCACTGACGGGACGGGCCAGCAGGCGGGTGGGAGACAGAGAGAGCCGTAGCTCCCGGGGGGTGTGGCCACGACAGATAGATATTGGAGATAAAATACCATGACAGCGGGAGGTGAGAGACAGTATGGTGAGAGAGAGAGAGAGAGAGAGAGAGAGAGAGAGAGAGAGAGGGAGAGATGTATCATTTTTAGTTACCACCTTAATACAAAACAAATATTTTAGTATCCTGTATTTTCTTCTATTTACATTAAGAAACAGCTAATACTTTCTGTCTGTAATGTGTCATCTTCATGGTCACCTTCACACACTGCTAAATAATTATACACATTGAATAACTGTATAACCTGAGGAGTCAAGTGCTTTAGATTAAACTCAATCAGTCCACGTCTGTATCTTTTGCGTTAGTGCAAGGGGGGGTCGTACGTCTGGCAGTGTATAATGGGGTCCTTTTTGGGGAAAACATCTTTATGGGTTATAATATTGTCAGTGAGTCAGTCGGGAGTTGGGTCGACGAACGCAGTTTAAAATGTCGCCTCTTTGTACGTTTTGATTATATTTATCGTTACTGTGTTTTTATTTATTTATCGCAGCTTGTAACATATGTTCGATAATATGTATGTATTTATGGCTGTATTGCATCATGAATTTACACACACACACACACCAGAGTAATTCCCTCAACTAATGTTTACATATATTTTAGATGTGAATCAGGCAGGTGGCCTGGTTTATGTATATATTTTAGAATGATTAATGCCCCTTAATGAGTATGTTTTATCTCTGTTACAGTCTGGTACCGAGGAGCGAGTGTCGGACATGGAACAGGAGGACAGTCTGGGGCTGCTGGGGGGTCGGGACAGCCCCCTCAAGCCTGGCGGAGGTGTGCCTGAGGGTGAGGACATCCTGGCCAAGCTCCGTCAACAAGTGTCGGCAGCGTCGCTCTTCACGGCCAGGGAGGGGGGCGTGCTCGGCTCCTCTCCGCCCCCGCCAGGCTCACCCAACAATAATAACAGTATTAATAATGGACACAACCTTTACGACCGCCTCCACACCCTCCTGCAGGCCAAGATGAAGAGGGAGGTACGTGCTCCACCTTTATTACATTGTCGTTTATCTTCTGTTTTTGGCCGGGAGGATCGTGGCTCATTGTGCACGATCCTCGCTGTTGTGTTGGTGTGATGATCTTTTGTTTGGGCTGTGTTTATTTTGCTCTAATACGATACATTAGATTATTGAATCGAGTCTGTTATTGAGAAATGATTCAGGTATGTTGTTAGGATATTACAGTGCGATATTGATGGACCAGTATATATAATTTCTCAGTATAAACATCCGCAGTTTATTAATGTAAGCAGACCGTCTCCAAGGTACGACATTTCCATGTTCATTTTGAATAATGTAAGCACATCTGGGACACCGTGGGTGATGGTGAGCATTATAAGTGTGACTCGTCAATATAGTCAGTGATTTACTAGCTATTGTGACCGGCTAATGAATATTGCATGCGACTGTAGGCCATTGTGACGTGAGGGTGGTGTCGCGGTTGGTGGCGGTGTGTGGCAACTGTACGCCCCGCGATGCTTGGCGAAGACGACACGACGCCTAATGACGATGCAACCGACTACGACGACTGCACTGTCATGGAGCCCCGCCTGACGTGAATGGCTAAGAGATCGCTGTAAATAAATAAACTGTATGATTATTAATGGACGATGAGTTACGGGGGACATTCTCTAGGTGGCATTGAGAGCACAGAAGGTATTGAGAGAGCTGGCTGTTACTGGCAACTGTATATGATAATTTAGAATACTGAAGAGAATTCGATTCTCTTAACCAACAAAGAAACAAGAACAATTACTCGATCCTATGGGATTTGGGTTTAGGTTTTGGCCGGAATTCCAGGAAGTGAGCGTAGGTTTAACAATAGATTGACTAACTCTTTGAGAACGATGGTTTAACCGTTCAAGATTATCCCACAAGTCATCGTCCTTAAAGGATGATAACTTAAACCATCATCCTTAAAAGGGTTATAATTAACACTATCGTCCTCAACGAATTAGTGTTTAAACCATCGCCGTCGAAAAGATTATAACTTAAGATGTCTTCCAAAGCTTTTACCATCATCCTCAAAAGGGTTTAACTTCAACCACCGTCCTCAAAAGGTATAAGAAACACGCTTGCACAACACTGTTTCGCCACGTATAAGAACGTAAGAATGGAGGAAACTGCATCGGGCCTATTGACCCTTACTGGGCAGTCCCATTTACACCCAACCCCTATTGCTCATATATCCATCCAACCTCTGTTTGAAGCTATCCAGGGTATTCGAGTTAATAATGATGTTTGGTAACTTGTTCCACTCGTCCACTACTCTATTTCCAAACCAGTGTTTACCTATTTCGCGTCTAAATCTAAATTTGTCTAATTTAAAACCATTGTTACGAGTTCGCTCCTGGTTGGATAGCTTGAGTACCTTTGTAATGTCCCCTTTGTTTATCCCTGATTTTCATTTATACACATCTCTTATATCGCCCCTCACTCTACGTCTCTCGAGGGAGTGCCAATTAAGATGCCTTAACCTGTCTCTGTACTCAAGGGAGGTGACCCTGGTGCTCGAGAGGACAGCGATGGATCATTGAGGTCGCCTCCAAGACCACAAGATCCCACGATTAATTTCTTCAGGTGGCTTTGTTATCTTTAAGTGGAAAATGCACAGAGGGGCACATTTGACCGCTGACAGTGTACACACTTGGATCTTCACAGGTAAAAGTGTACATATGTGGGGTCTGACAGGTAAAGGTGTACACATGTGGAGCCTGACAGGTAATGTGTACACATTGGGTTCTAGTACATTGGTGTTCAAACGTCACAATTATTATGTAAAAGCCAATTATTTCTTAATCAAAGATCAATCTAGGTGGGCAGAGCAGGGTCAGGACAAGCCAGGGCACAGAGTGTGTGTGTGATTATATACTTATCTACTCTGGGGAGATGAGAACTAGAGATATGTTTATCCACGACCCCCTGACGGAGTCATGATGATCCTCCCCATACTGGCCAGATATTATGTAAATAACATTGATTTTGTGTTAAAGGAATATCCTTCCTTCCTTAGGCTTTAGTGAGCCCCTTTATAATATTTATACTGTTTATACTTGTGACACTTGCCAGATGTTTCTGGTGTTAATGTACAGGGGTACCTAGTGACAGCACTAGGATCCCGCTTCCTCTATCAAGGAATAAACAATTGAAGTTGAAATTGAGTTATGTTTTTAACATGTTAATCTCTGCTACAGGAGGAGCTGGAGGGCAATGTTAACATGTTAATCTCTGCTACAGGAGGAGCTGGAGGGTAATGTTAACATGTTAATCTCTGCTACAGGTGGAGCTGGAGGGTAATGTTAACATGTTAATCTCTGCTACAGGAGGAGCTGGAGGGTAATGTTAACATGTTAATCTCTGCTACAGGAGGAGGTGGAGGCTGGAGGGTAATGTTAACATGTTAATCTCTGCTACAGGAGGAGCTGGAGGGTAATGTTAACATGTTAATCTCTGCTACAGGAGGAGCTGGAGGGTAATGTTAACATGTTAATCTCTGCTACAGGAGGAGCTGGAGGGTAATGTTAACATGTTAATCTCTGCTACAGGAGGAGCTGGAGGGTAATGTTAACATGTTAATCTCTGCTACAGGAGGAGCTGGAGGGTAATGTTAACATGTTAATCTCTGCTACAGGAGGAGCTGGAGGGTAATGTTAACATGTTAATCTCTGCTACAGGAGGAGCTGGAGGGTAATGTTAACATGTTAATCTCTGCTACAGGAGGAGGTGGAGGGGGACGAGGACTCGCGCGACCTGGTGCTCCGGGCGGAGGCGTTACAGAGACAGCGGGAGTCACTATTGTCGTCACCACAGGCACTCATGAACGCCATGAGGGGCGGCGGGCCACCCTCGCTGGTGCCGCCCGGGCCACACCTGCCCTTCATCCCCAGTACGGTCGGCCTGCCGCCCACCTCCCAGATGCCACCCACACCCGGGTCGGCAGGATCAAGAGACTCATCTGGCAACGGTACCCGCACGCCCTCCCACACGCCCGAGCCTCACCAGAGTCAGCAGTCCTGGAGCTTTGAGGAGCAGTTCAAACAGGTGAGTTAATTACCTTAATTATGTGTGTGCTACTTTCTATACCTGGGTGTGTTACTTACCTGGGTGTATTACTGTACTTACCTGGGTGTATTACTGACTTACCTGGGTGTATTACTGTACTTACCTGGGTGTATTACTGACGTACCTGGGTGTATTACTGACTTACCTGGGTGTATTACTGTACTTACCTGGGTGTATTACTGACTTACCTGGGTGTATTACTGTACTTACCTGGGTGTATTACTGTACTTACCTGGGTGTATTACTGACTTACCTGGGAGTATTACTGCAATTTACCTGGGTGTATTACTGACTTGCCCAGTGTATTATCACCTGGGTGTATTACTGTACTTACCTGAGTGCATACTGTACTTACCTGGGTGTATTACTTACCTGGGTGTGGCTACTGTACTTACCTGAGTGTATTACTGACTTACCTGGGTGTATTACTGTACTTACCTGGGTGTATTACTTACCTGGGTGTATTACTGTACTTACTCTGGGTGTATTACTGTACTTACCTGGGTGTATACTTTACCTGGGTGTATTACTGTACTTACCTGAGTGTATTACTGACTTACCTGGGTGTATTACTGTACTTACGCGGTGTATTGTACTTACCTGGGTGTATTACTGTACTTACCTGGGTGTATTACTGTACTTACCTGAGTGTATTACTGCACTTCACGGGTGTATTACTGCAATTTACCTGCGCACATTTACCTGGGTGTATTACTGTACTTTACCTGGGTGTACATTGTACTTACCTGGGTGTATTACTGACTTACCTGGGTGTATTACTGTACTTACGTGGGTGTATTACTGTACTTACCTGGGTGTATTACTGTACTTACCTGGGTGTATTACTGTATTACTGTACTTACCTGGGTGTATTACTGACTTACCTGGGTGTATTACTTACCTGGGTGTATTACTGTACCCTGGGTGTATTACTGTACTTACTTACCTGGGTGTATTACTGTACTTACCTGGGTGTATTACTGTACTTACCTGGGTGTATTACTGTACTTACCTGGGTGTATTACTGTACTTACCTGGGTGTATTACTGACTTACCTGGGTGTATTACTGACTTACCTGGGTGTATTACTGTACTTACCTGGGTGTATTACTGTACTTACCTGGGTGTATTACTGACTTACCTGGGTGCATTACTTACCTGGGTGTATTACTGTACTTACCTGGGTGTATTACTGTACTTACCTGGGTGTATTACTCTACTTACCTGGGTGTATTACTGTACTTACCTGGGTGTATTACTGTACTTACCTGGGTGTGTTACTTTCTAAACCTGGGTGTGTTACTGTACTTACCTGGGCGTATCACTTTCCATACCAAGGTGTGTTACCTTATTTACTTGGGTGTGTTACCTCATTTTCCGGGGTTTGTTACTTCCCTTACCTGGGTATGTTACTTATCTGGGTGTGCTACTTACCTGGGTGTTACCTTACTTACCTGAACTGGGTGTGTTACCATAACTTACCTGGGTGTTACCATACCTTAGGTCCTGGAGTTTGAGCTGAAGGAGACCAGTCAGCCTCCATAAATCACCAGTTAACACACACATAGTTTGTTGATGTAGGTAACATAGAGGAGGAGCAACAAGCATCAGGCGAACCTCCCCCTCGACGCTGGATTTATTTTTGTAAACAATGTAGTCCACTCATCACACGTGTCCCCGACAGCTCCTTCGTCACCTCGGGCACCACTGGAAGACGGATCTCTTGTTGTTGTTGTCATGGTCTGTTGAAAGTCGCCTTTACTGTAGCTGCCTCCTGGTTGTTGATCCTGTAGTGTGATCTTTAGACAGCGTTTGGTTGGTCTTGTATGTCGAGGAGCCAAACTGCTGGTGGAGAAGGAGTGAGATGTGTTATTATGGTAATGAGGCAGACGGGTTCTCTTATTACGTGATCCTTGCCACAAAGAAGTAACACATCAGTTTCCTCTTGTAGCGTGAAGACATTATCAATACTTCGTGTATTTAAAAGGCGAAAAAAGTGAAGATTAAACTTAGTAAAATATTAGGTTTACGTCACATGACGGTAGGGTAGGTCCCCATTTGTTTACTTAAAACAGGTCATTACTAACGTCTGGGTGCATTATGGTAGACGGTGCTGGGGCGGTACTTAACCTGTCAGTGGGCTCGAACACCTCCCCCTGGCCGTGAGCTCCGTCGTGTTCCCTTCAGCTCACTATTACTTGCTCAGCGTCGACGGTCAGAGCGCCGCATACATTAAAAACTTCCTCACGATTTACTGTTCAATATACATTCTGTAATTAGTATTTCCCTGCCACGCGCGGAGGACAACTCGTGTTATATCTGGCGGGAGGTGTCGCGGCGGCTGTGTAGTGAGTGTGTTGCTCGGCTCGGCGGTGGTACTGTGCGTTGCCTGCCCCCTCCATCATCCCCCACACAGCGGCGGGATTCCTTTATTATCAAGCCGCATGCGACGGCCCAGCCATAACTCGAGCGGTGGCGAGGCGCTCAAGCGTGCGAGACGTGTAACAACTGAGGCGCCGCCGCGGAGGGTGTGTTATGACGCTGTTTTGGCAGCTCACACCCGCGTCACCAGCACCACCTTGCGCATCCCGACTGTCTTCTTTATGCTTGTGTTTGAAAACAATCCCGCGCACTGTATTACCTCCATTGTACGTTTTAGCGAGTTACGTCACTGTTGTTGTTGTGGCTCTCCTTAATAATGCTGAAAACATTTCTTTGTGTGACAGCAGCTCCATGTTAATGTTACTAGCGGAGTTTGACAAATTTACTGAATACAGAACATTAAAGTTTTACTGGCGTCTGTTTATGGTACTGAACACGAGGTTAGGATTATCTTAACACTCGAGTGCCTATAACAGAGATGACAACACACACAACCCCCACACAGACACCCACCACACACAACCCCCACACAGACACCTCACACACACACACACACACACACAACCCCACACCACACAGACACAGAGACACAACCCCACACAGACACAACCCCACACAGACACAACCCCACACACACACACACACACACAGACACAACCTCCACACAGACACAACACACACAGACACACAGACACAACTCCACACACAGACACACACCCCACAGACACCCCCCACACAGACACAGCCCCCACACACAACCCCCACACACAGACACACCCCCCACACAGACACAACCCCCACACACAGACACCCACACACACAACCCCACACACACAACCCCACACAGACACAACCCCCACACAGCCCCACAACACCCCACACACACAACCCCCACACAGACACTCCACACAGACAACCCCCCACACAGACACAACCCCACAGACAGACACAACCCCCACAGACACACAGACACACAGACACACACCCCATACAGACACAACCCCACACAGACACAACCCCCACACAGACACCACAGACACAACCCCACACACAACCCCCCACCCCACACAAACCCCCACACAGACACAACCCCCACACAGACACACACACAGACACACACAGACACAACACACAGACACAGCCCCACACAGACCAACCAGACACAACCCCCACAACACACACAACCCCACACAGACACACACACCCCCACAACCCCACACAGACACCCCACACACACAACAGACACACACACACAGACACACACAGACCCTCCACAGACACAGACACACACACACACACACACAACCCCCACACAGACACAACCCCCACAGACACAACCCCACACACAGACTGCCCAACCCCCACACAGACCCCCACACCCCACCACACACACCAGCAACCCCACACGCAACCCCCCACACACGCAACCCCCACACACAGCCCCCACACACACTCCCCTCCCCCACACAAAACGCCCACACAACCATCTCCCCACACACACACCCACCACACCCCCACACATACAACCTCCTCTTCCCACACACATACCCCTCCCCACACTCCCCCACATAAACACCATACAACCTCCCTCACACACACCTCCCCCACCCCCCCCACACACCTCCCCACACACCCCTCCCCACCCCCCACACACACATACACACTATCTACCTGATAAGAATTGCAGTTGATAATTACACCTATGATACCATCTCTCAGCACGCATCTGTTATTTTAATCCTCGGCCAGGTACTGTGTTTTACTGACGGGTGTAATTAAGCTGAGGCAGTTTACGTACAAGGACAATTCAACGTGTATTGATCGCGTTCAGGTTGTTGGAGTGACGGTGACCGCAAAACAACCGCTACTACTGTACATCCTGGTTTCCGTCACTGGTGGATATTGTATTGGTGTTTGTGGGGTGGGATGTGTTTGTGTGTACTGTATACTTATGTGTAAGTGCGATTGTATGTATTGGCCCATACTGGGCAGTCCCGTTTACACCCAACCCCTATTGCTCATTTATATCCATCCAACCTATGTTTAAGCTATCCAGCGTATTCGAGTTAATGATGATATTTGGTAACCTGTTCCACTCATCCACTACTCTTATTTCCTAACCAGTGTTTACCTATTTCGCGCCTAAATCTAAATTTGTCTAATTTAAAACCATTGTTACGAATTCGCTCCTGGTTGGATAGTTTGAGTACCTTTGTAATGTCCCCTTTGTTCAGCCCTGACTTCCATTTATACACCTCTAGCATATCGCCCCTCACTCTACGTCTCTCGAGGGAGTGCAAATTAAGATGCTTTAACCTGTCTCTGTACTCACGGTTCCTAATGCCCGGGATTAATCTTGTCATTCACCTCTGAATTCTTTCTAAGGATTCTATATCCATTCTGTAATACGGTGACCAGAATTTAACTGCGTAATCCAGGTGAGGTCTGACAAGCGGAAGATATAATTTAAGGATGACCTTGCTAGTCTTGTAACTAACACTCCTTTGTATGAAACCAAGTACTTTATTAGCCTTGTTTCGAGCAAATACACATTGTTTACCTGGCTTAAGATTCCTACTTATCATAACTCCTAAGTA